CCATGTTGACTTTACTGGACCTCTTCCATCGACGAAAAAGAGATACCAACACATTCTAACTGTGGTCGATGCCTTTATGAAATTTACTTGGTTCTATCTAGTGAAACCACCAACTATGCAACAATTTATTTCAAAATTGAGGCAACAACAGACTGTATTTGGGAATCCAGCCAGAATCATTTCAGATCGAGGTAGTGCCTTTACATCAAAAGAATTTTCAGCTTACTGTACGGAAAAAGACATAGAACATGTTAAAATTACTACTGGTTTTCCAAGAGGTAACGGACAAATTGAGCGAATCCATAGAATTTTGATTCCTGTTTTGTCAAAATTATCACATGAGGATTCAACAAAATGGTTTAAATATGTTCCAGATGGCCAGAGAATAATCAACAGTAAACTACGAGAAGTACAAAATATTCACTGTTTGAACTTCTCACAGGCACGAAAATGACGAACAAGGAAGATCTGAGAATCAGCGAGATATTGAATGAAGAATATCTAAAGTAGTTGATGCAAGAACGTGATGAAATGAGGGAAGATGCGAAAAACAACATTTTGAAGATACAAGAAGAGAATCGTAAACAATTTAACAAAAAACCTAAGAAACCGAAACTATACAAGATTGGCGACTTGGTAGCCATTCATAGAACTCAGTATGGGATTGGTTTGAAACTACGATCTAAGTTTCATGCACCATATAAAATCATAGCCGCTAAATTGAATGACAGATACGAAGTCGAAAAAGTAGGATGCCATGAAGGACCGAATTTGACATCTACTGCGGCTGACCATATGAAGCCATGGTCAAATTGATTTGATGTTTGTATCAGCTGAAAACCTAAGGACCTGATACTCTTTTTTCTTTCTTTCTTTCTTTTTTTATTCTCTTTGCACGTACCTCATGATGATGTCGATGTCCACTCAAAAGGCATCAAGGACGATGCCCCACAAGATGGCCGAAACTGTGGAGATAATTGCCACCGATGCTGACTTAGAATACCTAGTGAGGTGATGTCATCCCAGCTTAGGACAGTGCGGAGCAGTCGAGACAACGCGAGATAGCTTCCAGACGTGGAAAGGAGCGGAGGCAAGCAGACGGCTTGTAAATCCTCCAAGAGTTGGTGGAAACAGATGGTTTCCTTCGATGTTTAAGTTCCTTGTAGCCAAGCTGATCATATTATGTAAAGCTAGCTGTGGATGTTGTTACAAGTGTGTGAGAAATGTTCATCATTACATGAATCCTGTGTGGACTGAGTATAACTATCATGACATCACCTGCAATATTAATTTTTACTTAACTTACCTTTTATTTCTTTTATCTATTTCTTATCAGTAAAATAAAGCATTTAATAATGCAATAGACGTGCTCTCCTCGTGTGTGTTTTGAAAGTAAATCCTACATATATATATAGGCATATCACAATGGATTAATTATTCTCATTTGCTCTTTTTTTTTTTTTTTCCTCATTTTGCATCACAAAAGGTTTTATACTAATTACGTGTTTTTAATTAGTAATTATATGGTACAAAAAGAAAAAAGCCAAATTTTCTATTACATGTAAAAGGCATTATTGGGACACATGCAATTTAAAAACAAAATTGAAATTATGATTTTCACATACATTAAAAACCATATTAAGGTATAAATGTAGCACAGGAATTAAAGAAATATAAAAATGGGAAAATTCCGTACAAGATTTGAATACAAATTAAAAACAATTACAAAGAAAACTATGCATTCATAAATAATTAAATGGCAAAGTTATGCAAGTTGGGAGCACTTTTAAAATAAAATTCTGCTTTAGAATCTATTTGAAGATAAGAGCAAGAAGCCAATTAGTTATATTTAACTGATTATTAGTAACATTTAATTTCTCCTTCATTCCATTTGATAAAAGTGTAAATGTGGTTCTTATCTCCCCTTGCTTTAAGGCACTAGGGGAAAAAAAAGCTTTCCAAAAACATGTTCACTCAGAAGGTAATTGTTAGCGACTCAAAACAAAAGATAACAACTGCCATATGTCACAAATGAATTTTCAGGGATGTTTCAAACACTGACTGGTAGCAGTCGGTTTGAGTAAAATTTAGGAGTGATTATTTTCCGTGTTTCAAGTATGTACATGTTAAACATTTAAAAACTATACTCCAAAGCAGTGAGTGATAAGCAGTTTATGAAACTCACAGGAATGAGCATGAGCCATTTGTAAAATGTATCTCTAATTTTTGAGCTCTATTTTTTTTTGTTTGTTGGCTTGCTTGTTTAATTATTCCATGAAAAAACATGTCTTGCAAGTCACAAACATACTCAGATTAAAAATTTAATTTAATATTAAAGTATGAAATAAAATAAAATTTGTTTCCAGACTTTACTGAAACGGCTTTAACTGGAAAGACTGCATAATGAAATTCCTAACAATGTGGAGAAAGCTAAAGTCATTATGAAGAATACAGCCACTAGTAGCATTTAACTGAACAAACTTTTAGCTTAAGGAAAAGTATTTTTTGAAATAACAGAATCAAACTGTATAGCATATTTCATATTTACTCACAATCTCTTTAAATAGGAAATATTTTAAAGAGAATTTAGCCCTAAACCTTATGCAAAAACATTTTTGAAAAATCATAACTTGGCCTTCAACTGATATGAAGGTGGAAAAATAATGTATGGCAGCTTTTGGCATAAATTGGGTGAATAATTCAATTTACTCTTATTTTATACAATTTCTGTGATTTTATTAACTCTTAACAGATTGATTTTTTATTTATTTAGAAATGTTTTCTTGTTCATTCACAATTACTTTTATTTTTAATTTTTGCAAAAAAAAAAAAAAAAAAAAAAAAAAAAAAAAAATTGATTGAAATATGATTTTGTTTTTATAACATAAAGTGTGATAAGAGAATGTTTGTTAAAATTTCCATAGCTCCACTGCTCAGAAGTATACTTCAGTGAATAATTGCTTGATGGTTTTCTCAGTTCAACATCATTTGTTTGAACTAGGTACAGAATTAAAAGCAATACTCCATGCCAGGTATACAGTGATATTAGAGCTGATATATTTAACATGGCGAACACACGAGGACTATATACATAAAGGGGCTTTTATGGAAAATTTCCTTAGAAAGCCTGGCTTGTATTCATGTTACACAAGAAGAAAATTGAGAGAATACCCCTGCAATCAACCCATTAGTCAGCATTTAAACCGAGTCTAGCTATCAAGTTCACCTAGGTCTTAAAACACTCGAACATTAATGAACCAATGTTTAGTAAAAACTGATATTTAATTTCGAGGCTGAGGCTTACATTTACATTACATTATAAAAAATAACTTACATTATAAAAAAAATCACTTACCAATGTTGAAGTATTGCTTGTTCTGAAAGCTGAATCATTATTTAAAACTAAATGAGCAATTAGCTTTCTATTTCAGTTTAAGAGTTGTATAAGACATATTTTCTTATTTAAAAGCAAAATACAGTAAATCCTTGCACTCTCTGCTCACAGACAACACCACTGAAAATAATTAATACTTGTGAGAAATAGATATAGTGCTCATAATTATAATAAGCAATCTGTAAGACAACCACTTTCTAACCTAACAGAGATCGTCTAATGCGCACTGAAGACACCATTGTCTAATTTTACTGTTAAAGTTCTTTATGTGCTTTATATGTCAAATGAGTTAGCATATTTCCAGTTCTTATTTCATTAGGAAAATTATTTCTACAGGGTAAAAAAAGGCAATCATTAACTCAGTGTCATTTGTATGGTTAAGAACATTACACAAAGGTTATTTGTCAAGTTGTCTATCCCATAAGCTTCTTTCAGACTTTTAACGTTACCAGATATTTTGAATGATCTCTCACATTTCTACATTGTTTACATTTCTTGTTCTCAGCAATAAGTATTGATAATACGGTCAATGTCATTCTTAGCAATTAGTAGTACCAATAAAATACAGGCCCAAAAAGCAGCTAATTTTTATCTTTGGTGGTACTGTAATCTTTTATACCAATTTAAAAAATGAGAGTTCAATGTATCCATCTGTACATGTTTTTTTTTTTTTTTTTTTTTTCTAACTTCATAACTCTTAAATAATCAAACTTAGAACAGAATAAAATATTTGCAAATCAAAAAATGAATATTTTCAACTTAAAAACACGACCAAAAGTTGCTGAAAATATAACAGGAAACTGTCTCAATAGGCTGAGAGACTTCCAATGGGTCAATAGTTTAGTAACAGATGAGAACTGAATCTGAAAATTACGAAGCAAAACTTGTGTATAAAGTTTTATCTAACTTTGCTTTTATTGTACATTTTTCATCTGTTAGAATATGATTTACTTACAGAATTTAGAAAATTGGATATAAAGTAAATTTTTGCTTATTTTTGCTACAGTTTTCACTGCTTGTCTAACTAATTTGTAATTTCATTAATGTAAGCGTATTGATAAACTGATGTATCAACACTTCAGAATTTTTTAGCAGATCTCAAAAACCTTAAATAGGACAAATCTATTATACAAATTGGTATTCACCATCAAGCTGGCTTTTTTAACATGTAAAAAGGTTCCAATGCAAAAAGCTTAAATTAATTCACTATTAACAAATTAATTCAATTAGCATAAATTAATTGATTCAATTAGCAAAATAATTTAATTATTTAATAAATTGTTTGTTTGTTTTAATAAATTAATTTAATTAGCATAATAATTAATTTAATTGCATACTTAATTTAATTAGTATCCTTGGCTTTAAATTATACAAACACAGACCAGCCCAAACATTATAACACCCCAATATTGGGTAAATGCACTCACTGGAATGAAATAGATGGCATGTGGCAAGGCTAAGAATATTATTTAACGGCTAATCAGAGAGATGTCGAGGCATCATTTTGTAAAGTTATGAATAATAATTAGCACTATTCATTGTTAGAATAAAATATTTTGCAAGTGTAAAAGTAATAATTATTAAAGCATTTAATAACTTTACCTACCTCCGAAATTCGTCCTTTTCATCCATGGCATTATACTTGATATCTAGAATGAAAATACACATAAAAATCTGACAAAATCATTTTGGGAAAAATAGTTATTTTACAATATTTTATTTTCTTAAATATAAAATGTAGATTATAAAATTTATGAAGAATATACATACTGGGTGGCCATAATTAAACTGACAGTGCCCACAGTATTCTGTAGCACTATCTATTTGCGAGAATGACACCACATTTTGTAGGAAGATTAAACAAGATGGGGGACGAAGGATTCCGCGAAAAAAAAATTATTAGTTCCAAAAGTGACCGCTAGGGGAATATTTGGCACTGTGTGAAAATAGAGTGTTAACAAATACAAATCAATAAGGAAATTACCTTTTATTTTGCATTCAAATGAGGTTCAATGTGGCTGCCATTGTTGTGGACTACATATTGCATTCTGTGCACAGTATGTACAACAGCAGAAAGTAACATGTCTGCAGGAATCTCCCGTACAGTCCATGATATGTTATCCTTCAACATAGTCAGGTCCTGGACCACTCTTTGATAGACCTTGGACTTAAGGTAACCCCATAGCCAGAAGCTGCATGGGGTAAGATCAGGCGACTGAGGTGGCCATGCAGTTCGAAAGTAGCGGCTAATGACCCTTTCTGTTGTGAATTTCTGTCGTAGCATCTGTTGCACCCATACAGTAACGTGTGGAGGGGCTCCATCTTGCATGAAAATGATTTTCCCCAGGCATTGTCTTTGCTGAAGTGCCGGAATGACAAAGCTGTTCAACATGTGGCGATATTTCTCTCCAGTAACAGAACAGGTTTCTGGTCCTGTCGGGGTAATGTTCTCATAGAAGAATGGACCTATGATAAATTCCGCTGTGAACCCACACGAAACAGTTACCTTTGGTGAATGTAAGGGAATTGCTGTGACTGCATGTGGTGGTTTGTCATCCCAAATTCAGCAGTTCTGGGTATTCACAGTTCCATTCAGGTAAAAGTGGGCTTCGTCTCCCCATAAGATTTTCCACAGCCAAGCATCACCCACCTCCATTCTGGCACGAAAGGTGAGAGCAAAAGTCAATCGCTTATCATGGTCGGGGTACAGTAACTCCTATACACGGCTGATCTTGTATGGATAGAAGTTAATAATCTTTCGTAAGATTTTCCATACCGTACTGTAAGGCATATCCATATTCCGAGCTACTCCACGAGTGCTAGAGGTGGCAGCAATATTGTCTGGTCCTCTGTCGACAATCGCCGTGGCAAATGCTTCGGTTGTATCCTACGGTACAGCTTTTCGTCCTCTGCCTGACTCCCCATCAGAGAACCTGCTTTTCAAACGCCGCAACCATTGCTTTTAGCCCATTAACTGACACAGGACTGTTACCTTTACGCATTTTTTTGTGCATTCTAAAAGCACGAAGAATGGCTGACGCGTTGCACTGGTTGAAGTAAAAGAATTTGACCAGTAATGCACGCTCGACTAAAGAAGGAGACATTGCACATAAACTTTCAATCCGATTGATTCGAAATGTAACACATTGCCTTTTAAAACCCAAACAGCTGGCACTGTGCAAATGGATGTAACATGAAATTTGAATAAAGAACTTCTTCTGCTCGGCGTACGTGATATTGCAGATCATGAGACTTTATCGGTGTTTGTGTAGATTTTACGCTTTTTTAAAAGTGTTGCCTTGAACTAAATCAAAAAATGTGCATAATAAAAGGTAATTTTAATCCATATTAATTTGCATTTGTTAACACTCTATTTTCTATTATACAGTGCCAAATATTCCTCTAGCGGTGACTTTTGGAACTAATTTGTTTTTTCGCGGAATCCTTCGTCCCCCATCTTGTTTAATCTTACTACAAAATGTGGTGTCATTCTCGCAAACAGTTCGCGCTACAGAACACTATGAACACTGTCAGTTTAATTATGGCCACCCGGTGTATAAAGATACTTATGTATTAATGCAACCACCATGATGCAACATGGCAAATTCTTGTGGATGAAAACCTTAAAATTACTTTTTGGATGCAAGTGATTTTTGCGATATTTTTTGGAAAAGATTTTCAAATTAACAACATTTATAAGTCTGTAAACATTATACACATATCAAAAGAAAACACATGTTAAAAATTTGAAATACAATCTTTAATTATAAATAGCTAATATACAACTAAAAAAATAAAAACTTATTTTTCACAAAATCCTTCTCTACTTTTTTACTGCTGTTTTTCTCTCAATGTACACAGCAACCTGTTTTTGCTTAAGAAAAATCAGAGAATTGTACTAATTCGGCAATACTAACCAGCTATCTACCAAACACATCTCATTTTGTTCTCTTTAGTGATTTTGTGATAAAATACTGTAGTCCTGCAGATATACTAACACAGTTTCTTCGACTGTTTGTAAACTCAACACATTATATCTTAGAAGTGAGTTGAAGGCAAAAAATATCCTAATTATTCTCTAAAAACTGAACTTTGAATATAAGACAAAGAATGCACACAAAAACAGAGATGCTGCTTAACTAAAGGATTGTCATGAACATGATTGCCAATAGAATGTTTGTATGGATAGTTGCCTGATTTGACACATTCAGAAAATTTGAATGACTTCTACCATGGTTGCAATAATACACGAGTGCCCAGATAAATTATTATACTACATTGGATAATCCAGAAAGTTCTGCAGTTTTCCAAATCAAAAAGTGTTTTCTTCTAATTATTTTGTTATTGTTCATAAGCAGTGACCATGATCAAAGCACATGCTTAAATGTGATCTTTTCTGCTCATGTTGCATAATTTGACCATGCATTGTAGCATAATTTTCGCTTCAGTGCAATCTCAGAATGCAGAATCCAAAAGTAATTTTTATAACATTATGCTCTTTTATTTTAAACAATATATAAAAAAAAAGTTAAGTCAATTCCTACTAAGTCAACAAAGAAAAATTTTATTTTAGTTACTTTTTATTAAAATTATTAAAATGTTTTCGTTTCTAATTTATGAAGCTGTGAAAAAACAGTATTAACATCAATTGTCATCCACTACAAGTTAAAAAAAAATGTACTTGAATTTGAGTGGATGAATAAAAGTATTTTATTAATGATTGAAAATTTGAACAAGAAAATTTGCCTATATATGCAGAAAATGCTGTTTTTCATGACACAGTTCAAAGGTTATTTACGAAGTTTAAGCATGAAATTTCAGCTATGAAAATGATGCCTTTTTTATTTAATTTTAAAATACATGGTTCTAGAATTTGCCAGCAATGGAAGATACTGCAGTAAAATGTTTGCACTACTACAAAATTTGACACCAAAATTTCAAAAGGATCTAACAAGGATATAGGCTTGACAGATATCAGTGTTGCCATGATTTGCACAATGCTGAGTCTCTGCAATTCTCTAATTTTAAGCAAAAACAGATTGCTGTGTGCTTGGGGAAAATGAAGCAAAAAAAATTAAAAAAAAAAAAAGGGGGGGGTTAATTTTTTAATGCATTACATAATTTTTATTCAGTAATTGGTATTTTAAATTGCTAAAACATATGTCCTTTTGGCAAGTTGATAATATCTGCAGATTTATGATAAATATCGATAATTTGGAAATCTTTCTAAAAAAACATTCACAAAACCACAAACTTGCACCTGATAGGTAGCTTTTATCTTTTCATCAGTAAAAAAAAAATCATCTGTTCATCCCAAAGTGGTTGCATTAATATGTAAATATCCTTCTTATTTACGCACACATTTTACACTGTTACTATAAATCAGAATTTTCTAAATTGGTACTTTTCCATTTTGCTGGCACAAATCTTACCAAGCAGACTTTATAGGCGACAACATACAGTACACACATAAAAAATGCTAATAAATGTTAGTTCTAAGAATTTTGTATTTTGAAGGCATAAACATTTTAATATAGTTTAAAATTTTGTAAAAAGACAATAAATTTGTAAAAAGACATTAATTTAAGAATTTAATATGCTTTCATGGTTCAACTTCCTGATTCGCCGGTTCATATCATTCATATCACGTGATCCCAAGTGATCTCATTCACGTAAACTACGCTACAAAAATCTAATTTTCTCAGTAATTATCTACATTAATTTCAAGTTAAATCTTAATATGGAATACAAGTTTAAATGCAAGTATTATTTCAATTTGTACGAATAGCACTTACTCAGAAATTATGCAGTACTTTTTCGCTTAGTGCACTCTCATTAGAATTGATGACTCTTGATTTTGCCTTTCCTACATTTTTGCCTTTGGGTAAGCGGTGTGATTGCATCCTCATTGATTTAATTACGGCGAATGGCCTTAGGGCATAAAATTGAACTATCTGCTAAACCTTTTTTGTAATTGTATGGCAGTGTTGAAAGAAACAATCAAAGAAATGGCTGCTACTTGTTTTGAAAATGAGGCATAAAAGGTTACCAGTGAAGATATTCCATTTGGCATCAGTTGTACCGTTATTGGTGACTTTATCGCCTGCGCTGGCAAAACGGAAAAGTACAGTCGAAAGTCGTTAATTCGGACACCCATAATTCGGAATGATCTATAATCCGGACCTCAAAGCTAAAAACTTTCTGCGCATGCTCCGCGTTGACACATGCGCATAGGCGTTTACGCGTGCGCGTAAGACCTCTTACGACTGCGCATTTGCGTGTGCGCAAGCGCAGAATATGTTTTCACGTGCGCGTTTTATGTATAACAGACGGTGTAAGCTAAAATTATATAATTATCTATTTCAGTTAATGTTGATGATTGCGTTGTTCCTTAATTTTCGAATTAGATCCGGCTTATTATTTTTTGCAGACTGTAAGAGCAATACTAAAAAAGTAAACTTGAACTTTCGATTATGTCAAATAGAATTTTTGATTCTAGAGCTCCCAAAGGATTGTACAAAACGAAAGTATGTTTCGATGTCCATCAAACAAAAAGTGGAATTGCTGCAAAAAATGGATAAAGACATGAAGAATGTGTCAGAGAGGTTAGTGAAAATGAAAAAATTTCGATTGACAAGTTAGTCGGTAT